GGCACTGCTGCATTGGGGGGGGGGCGGGGGGGGGGGGGGGTGAACATCAAGGTCCCACAGAGCTCAACGGTTGTGTTCCTAAAAAGTTACAGGACCACAAATATGGCAGCTAGAGCCCGGTGTTAGAACTACTTCACCATAACATAACAGTTCATTTAAAGAAGCATGCCATCGGCCAGAAAGAAAATCAGCAAGTCTGGTCAGTCATGAGACCGACCGAACTGCCTTCCATAACAAAGCAACTTGGAAAAGTTTGACCTTCGTAGCATCGATAAATGAAAGATCAAGTAAAAACGTTGCCTGTATGATACACAACTCCGACAAAGTGCAAAAAGGGCATACCTTAATTGAAAAATAGTGGATATTCTTTTTTTTTTCAAAGAGAGGACTTTCGATTGAGCTCTCGAGTTTAACAATGCTGGGCACTGAGAATGTACGAAGATGGACAATGGCCACTTAGTTCGATAATTTTATTCCCTTTAAGACTCAATTTGATGGTGAAAAAAATCATTACCATGCACTGTACAAGATATTGCAAAAAAGTTCAAATATCTTTTATATCAAATACATGCTGAATTACCTTAGGTATTCTCAAGCCATGTTGCAAAATTCTTTTCAACATGCTTGATTTTCAAGAAAGGTTGCTATGCAATGGACATCAAGAGGATGACCTCCACTGTATCTGGCAGGTCAAACAAGGAATTCTGTCAAACATTTCAAGAATGCAGGAAAAAAATCTGCAAAAAGTTTTGAAACATGGGGACAGAGAAGCAATCAAGGCACACAGGGTAAAGTGGTGTGCCGTCAACCAACCTGAAAGAATGGCATCAGAAAAGAGGTTTGGGAAGATTGTGGGACTTAGAGACACAATGCAAAAAACAGGGACCTAGGAAAGAAGAAATGGTGGACATGTACATGTTTAAATTCTACAAGGTTTGTACCTTTAACATTGAAATAAATCATGTATGTTACATTTTTTGTCACATAAAGAGAATTTTAAATATTTGCTAGAAAGAAATTATATTTTAACATATGCCTGCAAAAACACAGACCATGATTGGTTTTTAGAATGATAAACGTGGTTTGTCTTTGTTTCACGCCGTTGCATTCGCTTCCCTTTTTTTTAAAACCATGCACTAGTGAAATTTGTTTCTTAAAAAGAATATAAATTGTTGAAAATGGCTGTATCTTTTTTATTATTTTGTTTTGTATTTTTTTGCAAGTTGCAGCCCAAAGAAAATAATTTTAGTGTTCACTTAGATCCGTGTTCATGCAAAAAATAATTTTTTTTTTTTTTAGTCTCTGAAGTACCGGATAACCACAGAAAAATTCTTCCCCGGTGAAATTCTTCAAATAGTGGACTCCTTTTAGGTTACTGCTAAGCCAACTTTGCTTTAAACTATGGGCATGTGTGACCTTCTATAATGATCGTTCTTAATAACACTGGCGTTCCATCGGACTTCATGCTCTTTGTAGTACCCCGTACGTTATCGATCTCCTTAGGGTTCCTTCTTAGGCGTTCCCAATCTTTGGGGGAAAATATAAAAAAGAAAATGTTGCAACAACGTGGAAATGTCACTGAAGATGACTTTCGTTGCGTGAAATATTTATTTTGTTAGTGTCAGTAATCCATGGCTTCAGACTCAACTAGAACTGAGCTTCACTGGTCTTCAATACCGTCGGCTAGCTCCCCTCCATCACCTGAGAGCCTTCTATAGCGCACAATGTGTGCGACTTCCGCTGAGAATGCAGGATCGCCCAGTATCCCTAGCAACAGGCTCAGAAGACACAAAATTAAGCATGCAGTGTTTACCAGGGTGCGCGACCTGTCATATTCCGGTATCTTGTGATTTTCTTGTTATTTTTTTTTGAAACGCTGGTTGCAGAGACAACAGTTTATTTTACAGGTGCTATGACCTAGAATAAGAAGGTCCCGTGGAACTTTCAAGAGATGACTGAGAAGCTCTCCGGGTTAAAGGGGCCAATGTTGGGTCTACTAGAGAGGAGGGGGGAAATAGTTTAAACCATCCAATCACCATGTTGGACAGGTCCAGTTCATCTAAAAGTATCTGTGCCACACCCATAAAAGATTTGTGATCCATGCGTCCATAGTCACCCCAAACAATTATCTGCAGATATAAAAAAAAGAGAAGGTTAATTGAAACATTTTAATTAAATGCTAATTCAAAGTTACCCATTTTAAATCTCCACATAACCCCTATAGAGCCAGACTGTGCCTACAATGACTGATGTAATACATCTAGAAAGAAGAAAATTAGAAAACAATTTGAGTTGTTGACCATAGCTACCAATCAGAATTACTGTTTACTTTTACAAAAATGAAAAGAGAAATTTGATTGGATTCAATTGCCAACAACTCCACTTATGCCACAACATAGACCACAGTTCATAAATCCATGGTGGCTCTTCACCCTGTCCTACCTATCTATTCTCAGAGGCCATAGCACCTCATATAAAGCAAACTCTGTTTAAAGCAGAGCAGCCTATTGTTACTCACTTGGCATGTCTGACTTCACAGGCAAGGTAGAACTTCACACAGGGAATTAATCTAGGTTTCCGATCCACATGCAAGCTGAAAGATTTTTGTAACCTCTAAAACCACTAAGTTTGTGAAAAGCATATTCATTGCTATCCAAAGATATACTGAAACCTGATTTTTTTAAGGAAAAAAACTTGTTCCAACAAATTACATTTTGCATCCAATAAAGTGTATGTAGAGCCAAAATATATTTTTTTGGTTTAGGATAGGACCCCTTTCAGGTTGTTTTTGATACTTGTGTCTCTGCTAGGGAGATTCACTGTTCCTATTTGTTCTGGTGTCATTGGGATTGAAAGTGAGAAAAAATAAAACAAATGTAGTTCTTACCGTGACAGGAAAATGGGAACACTCAGGGGGTTATTCACAAAGCTGCCAAAGGCCGCCGAGTGAATAATCCAGCTACGTTCGGCTATTCACTCCGGCTCAGTACGCCTGACTTCAGCCATACATCGGCTGCACTTCGGTCAGGCGAACATGCAGTGGCTGAGCTGAAGTGCAGAAGGACTTCGACTCAGCCGATCCAACATCACATAGGGGCCAGACGGCAGTGAGTGAATTGCCGAAAAGCCGCCGAGCGGCATTCAGCTCGTCTATTCTACTCGGTACCTCCGTGGTACTGAGCAGAATAGAAAATAGTGAAAATAGTAGAGAAGAAAAAAAAGATTACAAAAATATTTTTAAAATGTAAATAAATAGTGAAATTAAAAAAGAAATAAATGTATTTAAAAAAGAAAAAAACTATTGGACGGAGCTAGCAGTGACAGAATTTAAAACATATTTGCCACTTTGTCATTTATCTGATCAAATGCATGCTCTACCCCTCAACAAGGCACAATGTTTTAATTGAAGTATCATGGGGGGGCGGGGTGTCAGAACTCCAATTTCACAGCTAAATGCTGGCAGTTAAACAGAGTCTGTGGCTTCTAGTGCCCTGTGTAGTTCAGTAGCTGTATATACAGTACATGACACTAAGATGTGCCCCATTGGTCAGGAAAACTCCCTGGTCTACCAATACTTTACATTTTATTAAGCTCAAAAGGATTTTACCTGTAAGACCTTTCCTTGCGGTGATTCTTCAAAAGATAACAGTTGCTGGTATAAAGGCTCCAGCGTTTTTCTTGCTACCTTTGTTTTCTTTTTGGCTATGCAAACTCCATTTTCTAATAGATACACCTTTACGTACGGTGCTGCAAGTGGGGAAACAAGCAAGTGGTTGGCATTACTAAATGGATGGTGCTAACACCAACAATTTCTACAAATACATTTTTAGACACGTTTCAGTTATTCTAAATCAATTTCTCTTTATTTAACCCAACATATAAAATGCAAGGCATTGCTATATACTCTCCATTAAAACATTATTGTACTCACAAAATTACATAGTAAAGGCAGGTGACACAGAAGTCTTGTCTACTTATGCTTCACATCCACTGGTGCTTTGTCAAGACTAGCCTTCTTTTACTGTACGCAAAAATATTTTTATATAGAGTATAACCTGCGTATGTATTTCTTTGGCATGTGCTAAGTTTAGTTAGAAAAGTCTTGTTAAAGGTTTTCTTTAACATGTCCATGCAAAAAAGCAGGAATCTCTGTTATCTGTAATTTCAGCTGTACAATTTTGCACATGGAAGGGGAGAAGAATAACAGACAGATAACTCCTTGATTCTGACTTATCTTAGGTCAATCTAATAAATTTGCCCCTGCTTTCACATAGGTCGTCTGGGGTTGTGTGCTTCTACTATACACATAAAATAGTTGCCAAGTGTAGCTGAAAATGGACAGACTGGGAGATGCTCATTCCATGTTTATGGCAACTTTACATTGCCAGTATGTAAAGAAGTTAAGTTAGAACATCTTTTAGTTTAAAGTGAATCGGAGGCCAAGCTTTGGACATTCAGGTTTTTATATATTCTTAAGAAGCAGCAAATAAGCTTTAAAACAAGACCCCCACTGACCTTAGTAGCTGCAGAAGCCATAGAGCAATTCATCCTCAAAGTGTACAGCAGAAGCACTGAAAAGAGCTCACCCTGCATCTCCTTCCAAGAGCCCCTACTGTGTTTATCTTAGACACTAGAAAGCTGAAAAGCTGACAAGTCACTGTTTGGAGGGGGAGCAGAAGGAGCTGAGCTGTTGTGAGAATAACGTAAACAACTTTAGTGCTGCTGCTGTGAAATGTATGCATTACTCCACACTGCCTGCAACTATAGATGTCAATGAGGGCATGTTATAAAGCGTATTTACTACTTGTTAAGAAGAACTAAATACGAAATGCCTGACTAAAGCTCCACTGTAAGGAGGACAATACCAAAGGGATCCATGCCATCCTAAATATCCTTAGGGAAATGAAAAAAAAAATATGAATCCAGGCTTGAATAGCTAATATTTGTATGCATTCTATCAATGATGTGATATTTCTGATACTCCTTAAAACAAAATGTGCACTCCATCACATGCAGCACCACTGATGGCACTGTGCTTTGTAATGTAAGACATTACACAAGGCTGGCAACCTTATGGCTCAGACTTGGATGCATCATACTTTAACAAGGCATAATTCATTACCCCTAAATTCTGTTTCATATCAACATCTTTGCTGGCACTATAAATGACATGAAACATGCAAACATTTGCTTGATGTTGCACCTATTTAGGACAGTGATATATGAAAACATTAGGTGCTGTATATCTAGTCTATATTGACACCTCACCTGGCAGTGTCTTGGACCCTGGTTTTACTACAAGCCCACGCGCTCGTATAATTTCCACCTCCAACTGTCCTTTCTTATCCATCATTCCAATCTGAAGGTCCCCTGCAGGAAACAAACAGAAACAATTAATAACATAGTTTATGGATCTTTAACTGTGAATCACAATTAATTCAAGGTGTGACTCCAGTCAAACAATGTTTGATCCTTTTTAGAAAGAGTAAAGAAGGCCTGGAACATCTATCATGTTTTACCATCATTCTAATAATTTAAAGTGTTGTTTTTGCTGTCTTTATCCACATTGGGGGGATTTTTACTCACTTCCACCCTTAAGGACCAGTGCCACTGGGATAGGAAGTCAGAAAAAGACACAGAGAAAAAGACCCCTTGCCACTCTATCACAAAAAGTTCCATTTTATTACAGAAGCAATACAAAAAGTACAGTAATATAACAGTGCTTTAAAACTAAAGTGCTGCACAATTGTTTTGATTAGGGGAGAATTATGAGGCAAGTGATTTTTACTCAGCCTCATAATCTGAGCCGACCTGTGGCAATGAAACTGTCACAGGTCAGCTCAGTAGATCGTGAAGTGAGCAAACACATGTCGCTCGCTCACTTCTCAATCGATCCCCGCAGAGAGCTGTGACTGTCACTCACGGCTCCCTGCAGGGATTCCCCTGCCACCGCTATCCGATCCTCCAGCGCTGACTGGCGAAACAGACGGGGGAGGGCACAGCTGGCTCAGCCTCTGGATAGGCTGTCAATCCCGCAGCTGGGTGGATCCAGACAGTAATGTCGGGATCCGTCCCGGCTGCTGCATCTCAGTATACGGCGAGCTGTAGCTCGCCGTATACTGAGCTTTGGGTCACGGAGAACGCTAGTTTGTGTTCTCCCGTGACCCTTAGGAGAACTATGGGGAAAAGACCTGACCCCATAGTTCTCCTTTAACGTATATATATATATATA